TAAACTGGGATATTCTTCAAACTCTTCGAATTGAATCGTGTAAACAAACCCGTTATAAATATTATGTCATTATAATAATATCACATGGTGTAAGTACACGACACGCGGCGATGGCGAAATGTATAATAATTAATTGTTTTGATAGTATAATTTATATGATACATTGTTTGTGGGGTTGACCATGTAAATAATAGCGGCACGTTTCGCACGATTGTCATGCGGTGCGGCAGTTAACCTCGCACAACAGTTGGATAATATTTCCACTTCGTTAACGTCGACAACACTATTATATAATATATATATATATATATTTATGTCTCCTTTGTAAGTTTCACATATAAGACGCCATTTTTGTTAAACCCCAAAATTCACCTCAGTGTAACACTAGGTAAGTTGTCAATGTTTTGTTAGCAGCTGTCAATGTATGTTTTTTTTTTTTTTTTACAAATTCATGTAGACTACTCATTTAGTACATTACCGTTTACACGGGTCTTTTGAAAACTGATTAAAAATCATAGAGAAAACGCACCACGCAGATAGGAAAACGGTTGTCTACTACTTTTATAAAAAGAGTTGCAAGCATTTGGAACTGAATGTGTGTGATAAGTCCTATTAGATCCAAGGTCAGGTAGTACAAATTATATTATACCTGATCTATTAACAAGATGTATAAACTCAATTTTTTTTTCTTTTTATTATGATTTCAGTGTTGGCTTCGTTTAAGCGCTTTTCTTCACCCGAATTGAGACGACGATGGTTTTGAATATTCTTCATGACGTTTACAGATGCAATATAGATAACGGGGAAAAAAACTCAAGATTTTCAAGTGCCTAACCGTTGCAATGCATAATTTATGTTAGCTACTATGTTTATCCTAAGAAAATCATACGATTGTACTGAGTAAAGATTATGCCACAGTTGTATGTGCACTATTACTATTTAAAAAGGGACCAAGCGATTATTACAAGGCAAGTATATGCGATTCAGAGATGAAAACGTATACATATCTATCATATAATTTGTTTTAAAGTTTTTGAAAATTATTTTGAGTTTTACAATATGCGTTAAGGGTAGTGTAAGGGTAGCGTGTCGGCGCGCATTGGGGGTAAAATGTTTGACCGTTTTTGATAAATTACAAGCACATCCGCCTATAAAGTCCGGAATCAATTATGGTTTTTTTTTTTATTGTTGTTTTATAATAATACCCATGCTTGTTATACTCGCTTGTTGCGCTTTACTGTGCAAACGAGTCGAAATTGAATTTGTATAGTGTAATATTACTATTAGCTATTATGGCGCCGTCGGGGGTTTTGTGATATTTTGGCGACCAAAGTGACTTGGACGGCTTCTCGTCAGAGTGGTTTACGATTGACGATGTTAGTCCTACCATGGCAACGCTTTTTCATTGTCTAATAAAATATAAATTAAAAACATGCTTGCCGTCATAAGATATGTAAAAAAGCGTACAAAATTTGGGTATTTTTTTTTGTTATTAGTTAATGTTTTCTATGACAACACTATATTTCATATTTGCCATAAAAAGATGTAATTTTTAGTGTTGCTATCATATGATATTGAAAATGTCTGAAAAAATAATTATTTGTAAAATGTTAAGTAAATTTGTATAATTTACATGCCAACGCGCGTCTCCAGTTTAAAGCACCACATAAATAAAAAAAACTTTAAATCTTCATCTTTCAATTAATACCTCTAAAATTTTATAGGAACTCAAATTTTTTTCTGACGATAAATTGAAGCTACAAAATAGGTACTTCTATATAGGTAATAACTTAAAGTAAATACAAATTTTTTGGTTGTGATTTCGAGTTCTAGGTTTCAACTGAGTCGTTAATGTATTCATATACATTATCATACCTATTAGTTTTTAATAAAATTATGTTAATATTAAAAATAATTGATTTTTACTGAGAGGAATTGAATTAAAGATTAACTGGAGAAAAGCAACATAAAATGTATCGTTTTAAAAATACTTTATCAACAACTCTGCCATATTTAATACAAAGCTTATACAAAACCCCATTATGCTTTTCGTGCATTTCCCTAAATGACCAAGTACATTTTAAAGATTCCGTTCGACACCAATCAGGAACTGTATACTATGACAAGCAAACGACAACGATAACAGATAAATGATAGACTTTCAGCAAAGGCAGGCATGCATCAACCATATTTCATCGAGTATCAATATGATAATTTACCAGAAAAAAAGTATCATAGGTTAAAGAAATATTCTCGATGCTCGGTATCTTTATCAACGGAAAGCCGTACCGATGCCCGTCTTTGACTGTGTACATACATATTTTACTACCTTATAAGTGGTACACGACGTACGATGTTGTTGTAATAGCGTGTATTTATTATAGCCGATATATGTAGTTGCATATAATATTGTTATAAGTGTGTATGAGCGCTGATGAGAAGAAAAGCCCGACGCTGTCCCCAGGTGGTACTGCTGTCAGCGGCGCGGCAAATGATATATCACGCGGACGTTGACAAGCAATCAATTCAAAGTTAGAATCCCTTTGCGCCCGCGCCCCCGCCCCCGCGAGTGCCCTCCCCGCGGGCGCTTCCCGGTCTGCCGGTCCGTGCCCTTTTCGGCCAAAAGCAAATTATGAATTAATAGGCGCACCGGGGGGATTTATAAGTTAAACGCAACTTTTATACGCGTTATCTCTCTCTCTCTCTCTGAAATATCAGCGCCAATTAAGGGGGACACGTCACGGCCGATTATTTATGGGCCAACGTGACCGACTGTCTTTATTTTTGGTCACGAACGGCAAGCCGCACCGGTGACAGCGTACATTTGTTCCGGTTTTTCCGCGCGCCCTGCCCTGCCCCGGTCCGGGCGTTTTTCGCCTCGCCAAACCAATAAAAGCCGCCGATGGCGACGACATATCCCGCGACTAGCCGACTCCGCAGAGCTCGGCCACACGTTATTCAACGGTAACTGGAGCGGTTTTCTGGTCAACACACACACGGTACTTAGATGGTACCTGATACACTCTGCGACAACATTTTTCGGAAACAACAAATTAAGTGTATCTGTTTTTCTATTTATATTTTGTTCGATGAATCCGAATCTGGCTTAGATTATCTCCAGCCCACATTTTATGTATTTACTTTGGCACACAACCGGAAAAATCGACAGCGTTAAAACCTAACGAAATTTATCCTTATATATCCTTATATCCTATATCCTTATATATCTTTATATATCCTTATATATCCTTATATATCCTTAAATCCTTATATATATATAATAAATTTATACATAATTATAAAAACATAAAATGTCTCCCGTGGTTGCGGACTCGTACGCAAGCTGTTATTTCAAGCTCCACCTCCAACTCTTTTTAACACATTTCATTTACAGTTTAACACTAAAATATATCAGCTATTTTTTAATTTTTTTAATCACCTCCGAAGTCATAAAAAAATAAAATTGGATTTTTCTAGTTTTCTTTTGAATAGACCAAAAAAACAATTATTTTGAATGGGGTAAATAACTTTTGGAACTTTTGGCGTAATTATGTACCTTTGGTGAACGATTTCTGATCTATGTATTTATGAAGACGCGGGTCCGATTCGCATCGAAGCCAAAAGAATTATGGCGAGCGAACTTCAAGAAAGTTTGATAACAATAATAATAATGAATTTTAGTCTTTTCTTTAAAATTTGTGTTATTTTTTTGACTAAAATCGCCGTTTAAATAAACGGATGGCCCTTTGTGAGAAATGTGTCACGGTAGACACCTATCGAGGTTAGCTTTTTTATTCTTTTACTATTATTTTGTACGTCCGTATTAGAACGCAATTCTCGCTGGACGCATGCCGAATCTTAATAGTTTTCGTTTCTTAAAAAAAAAAAAAAAAAAATGCTTAACCTATTTCACAAAACTTTTCTTGACAAAAAACGAGGCGTAAAATGTTTTTATTAACACATCTCTGGACTCTTTTTCTCCCCTACTTAATCTGATTTCCTTTTAGTTGTATACGCCGCTTATACAATGCTTTCACCCTCAGTGGTCGTGTGTATGTTATAAGATGACACTAGTGCACAAAATGATGCACTCGGTTTGATAATACCGAAATATTATTTACAGTTACACTCGACAACACGCCAAGTAGTCATTCCAGGTTCGATAGATGATTTAATTTAGATTAGATTTTATTTAAACAACAAAAAGTAGGTACACAGTTTAGATTCGTTTTCTCATTACTACTAATACAAGATTCGAACGAATACGATTTTGGTTTGCTCAAAGCGGAAACGTTATTTTGTTTGTAAGCTATTTCCTCTAAAATTGCATAAATCTCATTCAGGTTATTTATATGTATACATTTTTTTTTTTTGAACCGTGAATAACATTATAATAATATACATGGAAACATACACACAGCTAAGATATATTATTTTGGAATTAACATAATATTTTTATGGTCCTTTTTTTTTTAACCACATAAATAATACCACTAAAGGCCAGGAGTATGGCAAGTGCAGATTTTAACTTAAAAATGTTGTTTCTAAAGTTTCAGTATAGACAAACTATTGTTTATTTATTTTCTTATATGAATTACATATACAATAGTTAACAGACAATATTAATTTTAAGAATGCCATACTATTGTGTTACACTAATTTTGTTTTATAAAAATAAATAACAAAAATGAATAACCTTTCTTATGATATTTTATTATACAGCTAGGCAAACCGTTATATACTAAGTTAACCGTTTAACATTATTAAAGTGTGTTAACACTCAACCATCGTAGTGTTCTAATCAGAACATTTTGTTTCAAATCATATTATAATAATATTGTTCTCTCGGTTATAAATTATTATGATAACAGATGTTTGACTGCTGATTGGCTGTATTGGCCAAAATAATATAACTTAGAGTTGGTGGGGAGATGTGTGACCCCGGGCATACACATCAATATATCAATATATGTAAGACATTTAGGTACGTAATTACTCACCGACAACGTTGAGGAATCCTATTTGAGTTTTCGCCGTGATAGTGTTTATCTGGCACATATAACGGCCCCGGTCTTCTTGCTGCACGTTGCTTATGTGCAAAAACCACGTGCGGTGTTTGTCGTGCGAAACAGTGATTCTTGGATTCCTCGTGATCACGTGGCTGTTCACTGTCAGTATAGCCGACTGCTCGAAATGCATCCATGCCACCTACAAAACGTATAAGATAATGAAATATTTAGAAAAAAAACATTTAACTATAACGTACAAAAACGGTACATTTTAGCGTATAACGGTATTTCGGCAGCAATGTTTCACTCAATTTGACGACGGTAAAAAAATTGTGTAAAAACAGTGTTTATACTTGACTAATTTCGCGGAGTACCCAATCATTATTGACAGATCGCCGATGCTTATGATCTATTATGCTGTCTGTGTAACTGTGTACAATAAAATATATATATACCTGAACGCGCATTGGCGTTTTTTGGTTTGACATATTTCTATATATTTTTTTTTCTTTAATCTGCGAAACGTTTACTTTATATAAATTGAAATTTCGGGAATTCGTATAAAATCACGGCCGACTACAGGTTTACGTTAAAAATATATTAATATAATATACTTTTTTTATTAATAAAAAATCAAACACAATCCGTATATTTCATGACTCAGCACGATGTTCCAGGACTTAATGTAATTGGGGAAAAATGATCTGATGGCGAAATGGACATATTATTATTATGTCGCCAGTTTTTGATATTTATCCATCACTACTCTAAACCGATCTACGTGGAAAAAACAAATTACCAAAATGATCACTATCGTTTGAGTAAAGGATGGATATTATATAATATGTATTGGATAATAAGACATTTGTAATTGTTATAGTCAACTGTATGTTAGACAAAACCTCCTGAACTCAATGACGTTATCAATGTATTGCTTTTGATTAAAATATAAAATTGTTTCTGTTGTAAACGGATTTCATAACAAACGTTTTTATGTTGTACCTGCCTGCACTTAAACCTATAATAAGATATCGTGTACCGGATTGCAAGCTAAACGCTAAAATGTAATAAAATGGAAACGGGTATAAGTAATATTTTTGAAAGCGTGTATTATTTATCGACTCTCGGCAATAACACAAAATATGTCGACGAAACGAATTAATGGCGCATAAATATCGAAGGAAATAAATCAGTCTGAACCGAACAAGACACATAGGTATAAATTATTAAAACAAGCTTATGGCGAACACTCGAAAAGAGAGAGAGAGAGACGTGCCCGGTGTGTGTGTGTGGATTTTACTTTAAGAAAAATATAAGCCAACATTGGCACACGTCATGTCGGAATTTTTGTAAAACAAATTAACCAGATAACAATAAATTGTTAACCCTTTTCATCCAATAGGTCTGAGTAAATCTTCCAGTCAGCTTTTCGACAATAAATCACCGTAAACAAATCCGAAAGTATATTATACTATAACTTATACAAGAGACCCGCGGTTCGAGTAAAAAGTTCGTCCGCGAAAGACAAGATAAAAACATTCGGTTAGTATACATTACCATCATCATTATTATTATTATTATTATTATTATTGTTACTGCTACTGCGCTGCCGGCCCATTGGAATAAAGGGGTTACGGTACTTAAGATAAAAAGAGAGATGAGCTAAGGGAGGCAGGGTCGGGGTGGGCTCAGAAATTGGTCGGTTGAATTAATGCACGGCGCCCGCGGTCCAAAATATTATTATAATAACAATCCAAAACCCGAATAGAGCGACAGAGGGCGACTAAGGGTAGGGGGTCGACCAAATTGCCCAATTACTCTCAGGTGGTGCTCCTCTCCAGCATATACCTTTTAATATAGCCGTACACCAACTTTCGGCAAGGTTTTTTTTTCTATATTACAATATTGCGAATCGGTCGCTACGGTGTCCTACGCGAAGCTCTGGTAGGTATGAAATAGCTCTAAACATGCGGCAGGCGGGCGCAAGTATCATATCAGGGGCCCCGTGTGTATTTATTTACATTTTTTCAACTAATGTAAATGTTAAAATATTGCCAGAGTGTCAAAAGAATCGAGAGAGTGTCTCGAAAGAACCTCCTACGCTTACGCTTGCAGAACGACATAATCGTGCGTCGATCAATTGATGCAATTTAATCGTGCATTGAAACGTCTAAACCAAGCTAAACTACATATTTTAATTTACACACTATGAAGTCACGTTGTTAATATTGTTATTTTTAAGCCTAACAGCCCGTCAAGCTTATTGCTGATTTCTCCTTGGCGGCGGAGGAGGAGAACACATTTGCGTTATGTTTATGGTATAAAGGCAGGAGCACAGATGGGTAATTTTGTTGTCACAGGTAAACACTTCACTTTTATTGGCCCACTTATCAATTATTGTCTACCTCTTTTAACGACTCTTTTTCTCAATAAACATAAAATCATAAAACTGTCTACATGTTTCGGATTAGAAAATCACGGCCGTGGCCTCGAGACACGCGGATAAGAGTTTATATTAAAAGGCAAAAGAATATTCGAAATTCGGTACACGTGCGTTTGTGCTCCAGACGAGAATTATACAGCTGTGCGGGCATAGTTGAACGGATTTGTCAACCCTCTCTGTGTGTGTGTGTGTGTATATACACCTTCAATTGCACCCCCCCCCTCCTCCGGCCCCAATTTTTTTCTTATTTTACTCCAAACGTATATATGCATAACGCCGTCGAGTCTTTTTCGAATGCAAACACCGGCCGTAACGTGACACTCGAGCACACGGGGGTAGAAAAAAAAATGTGTCCATAATCCATACGTCGTACGGCGTATATGCGCTGAAGCACGGTGGAAAACTTCAAGAAGATTAAATGTCCATGTACGTGACGACAGTAAAGGTCGGGTTTGCGTTTTCCGGACTAGCTTTTGCGGCGTTATGAAGAAAGACCGAAAACAAGCAACTAGCAAAATAACAATAATACTAGGTAACAACGAACGTTTTTCCGGAAACATGTGCTCGAGTATAGCTTTGAAAACAGAGATAGGTAGGCGCACCTATGTATACGTACTAGTCAATCGGGCAATATTATTCCTCGTCTCCGTGCGAGGACCATTGTGTTGACTTGTTTGCAATTTTCTTCTAGGGAAACAAAAATTATTGCCCCATAACACCTCCTTATATATATATATTATAGAGGTTTGCCCTTATGGCCCAATTTAAAAACCACCATGTAACGGGTACACCTGTCTTCTGCCTTATATACCCAATTCTAGTTGTAACTCTGTTTATGTTTAATTGTATATTTTGTATCGAATTCCAGTGGCACGTATTATATACAGTATACAAAAATAAACCGGCTAAACGTTACGATAATATACAAACTACCCGCAATTAATCCGCATGATGTGTACAATAATCATCAGAAGAAGAGGTCTATAGTTGGACGTGATTTACCGTCGACTATCGCCCTTCGTATAACCCCACAAACGTCAAGCTCGGCTACCTGAACCGCCGCCCCGGGGGCAAATTACACGGTAAAACATACATACCGCAAAACGCTGTCGTCCGACATCAAATGAAATGAAAATTATTATTATGTTCATGTATAGATGTCTCAAAAGGCTGTCAACGTACTTCTGACGGTTACAACGAAATAGAGACCGAAATCGAAGTAAAAAAAAAAAAAACCTCAATTCCTCTGGGTGACTTTTCGAGGTTATAACCGGCGTGCAAGGGGGTAAGTATTGTATTGCGTTTTTCTATCTGTCGTTTAATAAACATGCGCATCTTCTCCGGTATAGTGTTCCCGTTATAGGACGATTGTCGGTGGAAAACGCAAAAACTAATTAAACTCTCGACGGTTAAAACAAACGTTTAAACTTGCCGTGGCAAACGGGGCAAAGGGATGATGAAGGCGAGTGGCGACGACGAACGGTGTGTAATTTATTATTGCTTCGGTCCTGCGCGAGATAAGAAATCCGAGCACAGTCTACAGTTAGCGAGGGGACGAGGGAGAAAATTGTGTCCGTCCGAAGAAAGATCAGCCCTAGATTAATATTAAGCGCTTAAGTAGTAGTAGTAGTAGAAGTAGTACGTCGAGTCTTTTATTGCCTCGTTTGTACGTTTTTAAATTATTCCTAAGTGCAGCAAGTTCTCTCAAATAATTACAAAACATAATTAAAAGTAACCGACAAAATATAATATAATGAGATTTACCCGGTTTGTTGTTGTTGTTTTTTTTTTTAAATAATAAATAGTGTAAAAAATTATATTACTTACATTAACACAATATAATAATATATTGTGTACAATAAAACGATAGTTAAGTTGATTTATAAAAAAAAAAACTGTCATTTAAACTAACTGTTTTATTTAAACTACATAAACTGAAAACTTTTCTTTTACATTATGATTTATGACATTGTTTTTAGCGAACCCCTTCGTGTGTAACCGACCGTTAAAGTATAATTGATACACCATAACGCCAATTGTACAATGGATTGTACCTATATTTTATTCGATTTGTTTTTGGGCTTGCGACTTGCTCACGCGGGTGTACATCGGACAAGATGTGCGGTATTAAAGAAAAACTAAATAGAAGATAAAAAAGTTTTGAAAAGTAATACAAAAAAAAAAAAATATGTTTTTTTTCGGTGACAAAAAATTTGATTGAAACACTACTTTGCAACCGCACAGCTGATTCGCAAAACACGGGCTGTGACAGTGTGTGAAAAGAAGAGTGTGTTCTTCGCGCAGGGTTCAATCAAAATAATGGATTCTGCGGTTTGTGATGTCGGTACAAGGGGTGGAAAAATGAAAAGGAAAAAAAAACCAAAACGGTATCGTAATATTAAGCACGTATTCGATTTCCGATGGAAAGGAAAAAAAAAATAATGCCAACCTTATATGATCCCAGATTTCTGACTGAGCATCCCAACTTCACACTGCGTCCTGCGGGAACGGTCACGTTCACTATGGGTTCCGTAAATTCTGGATCATCCATAATCACTGGAAAACAAGCAATGCAGAAAATTAAATAAGATATCATGTTTGCATAATAACCAGCTGCTATGTGTGCATAACGAGTTTCTAGTTTTAAAAACAAAATAAGTCGGTCGGTTTTCCTAGACCAACATAATACACTATATAAGAAGGACTGCGGGTGTCGAAGGATAGAATAAAAAGTCTAATTTAATATTTATCTAATTTTCATTGAAAAGAAAAAGTTTAGGTTGTTTCAGTTATATTTTACAGAAAATTGGTCCAGTTTGAAAACCTAGTAATAAAGTCCATGAACGTCAACAAAACGGACCGCTTCCAATTCCCTCAATTTAAAAAAAAAAATTACACTTTTACGTTTTTCTACTCGTTTTTTTGATCTCTCAATTCTCAAAAAACTCATTAAGATACTTGGTGTTATCTAAAATAAAATTGAAAATACCCAGTGTAATAATATATTATCAGCCAACTATGTAAGAACAGAGTATTTATGTAAGTATATGCAATTATACAGAAATTAGGGAACCATATAATTTGATTTAAAACCTCAGAGGTTGAGAATAACTCTTAACTAGTCTAGATGGCTATTTAAGGATAATCTAGTTAATTATTACAATATTAGTAAATAAGTTCCGTTTTTTTAGTCCTTATAATTTAATTTTTCCACAATCTGTTTTCAACGAAAACATAGTTAAACTTATCATCATTGAAACGTTAATTATATTGTTGCTGTATTCCCGAGTATACTCTGGGAAATACAAAACACTTGAAACGCTACCAAAGTTTTGATGAAAAACAATTTTAGTTCCTGGCCGCAGAAGTGGCCGTGATAGTCTAACAAAAAAAAAAAAACATATATTATTGAACAATCCTCATATTATATGCGTATATCAATTATCCACATTATAGTTTTGGCTGTAAACTAAGATTAGGCGCTGTGGCGTTTTCTTAAAACTGTTATGGACGTATTATAACAACACTTGTTTGGGTTACGGTTAACTCAGGTTAACTCATGGGCCCAAAGAGAATTGTATAATGGTACGATATTTGTTTTTTTCTTTGTTAAAAAAGGGCAAGAGGGAAAATGTGCTTTGCATATTTTAATAAACGCCCGGCGAGGGAAAAAAGTGCCGGTGGCAGGTTAAGAACGTGGGGAAGTCTCGGATGAGGATGTATAGAGGTGGATTGCAGACGTGTGGCACATGTGTGACAGATGCATCAATCTCGCGTACGACCCCTGTATGAATGAGAAGAGGCCACACGCTCTAAGCTTATGCGAAGATTCCATATGGAGAACAACATTCGCGTTATGTTTGTATCTGCTGCCATATGCCTTGTTGATTCGTCTCGGTTGAATATATATTGTGTACACGCGCATAAGTATTATATTCAAACAATAATAATAATAATAATAAAAAAAACAAATAACGGAAAAACGCGACATTCGTTTGCAGAGGTATTTTTTTGTGATCGATTTTCGTTTGTGTACACTTTTATCTAAGCTTTTCGCGCGTGCCACTCTTAAGTATTGTCGGTCCCGTTGTTTAAGCTTTTTACATAAGTGAAACGGTATGTGATGTGACGAGCAAGTTATTATACAATAAATACATGTCTAATTAAACTAAAAACGGTGGTAGTTTTGCGACGAGGACGTGAAACATAAATTCCTAGACATAGGTTTAGGACAAGGGTGGCCGATCAAAAATAGGAGGAGAAGAAGATGCTCACTTATTGGGGCCTTAAGGCTTTTAGCGGGCTAATGCTAAAAAGTTAAAATTTGAATAGGCTAATCTCTACATAAGTAATATTTTGTACAGTTATTCAAAGACAATGTCCTTAGTCGTTTTGTAAATAACATTAATATTGTAACTATAATAAAGAACAACACACATTTATACATCAAGTCGAGTTTTAAGTGGATGTGTGATATCTTTGTGTATCTTAAGTTATCTTAAGTTTGTAATAACCACAGTAGGCCGTCCCTAAAAATCGTTTGGAATCCATACAGACCGGTCAGGACGGCCGATTTACAGCCCGTGTGTTATATATATATAATATTACTTATATCTTAAGACTTTAAACACACATCAACATGCCCGTTGGAATACGACGTTCGTATTATAATGTAGTAATATTAATAACCACCAATAAGAGGGGAAGGGGGTTAGGTTGACAGTAGTAGGGTGGAAAATGTACAAACGCGGCTTATCCCCCGGTCCGGTTCGATTTAATAATAATATAATATCGGACCTTGACGTTTGTCTTTTGACTCTGCCCAGACCCTTCGCTGCTTAAAGTCGGTGCCGGCAAACCAATATTATCACCGCGATGCCATCATACTTAACGGGGTCGGGGTATAAACCCCAAAAAGGACATCCGGTCGCGCCGGCAATTATTAACACAGACCGCAATCTCTGGTATGATTAACTCGCGATTGTTTCTTATGTATATATTGTGTAATATTATTATGATAATAATATATAGTGTACAGTATAGCCGCCGTGGCGTTTAATAACCGAGCTCTGTGCTCGGGTAATAACGGAAGGCCGGGGGGGGGGGGTATGAGTATTATATAAATATATATAGAGAGAGGGTGTATTGAAAAACAACCGCACCGGATATCCGCTAATAGTACACGACGGCTCTGACGGATGTTTCTTGTTGCTCACGAGCTTCCGACGTCGTGTTCGCCGTCTTATATCGTATCTAATATAATACCACCGTGGAACAGATTATGGATCTGAAGGACGCTATATATATATATATATATATAGGATTAACAATTTACGCTATTAAATTAAATACACAATTTGATGTTGTCGGTGTGACTACGTTTAACGCGGACCTGTATGAGCTCTATTCAAAGCAGTCGATAATGAGACCTATAAAAAAGTTATAGCAAGTGAAAATCGCAATAGAATACTCGGTAAAGATCAAAAGCTTATCCCGACGGTGTTCCCCCAGGAGTACTGTATTGCTGTTATTCGGACCCTAGGTTTCGGAATCACTCTATATATATATATATATATATAACAGACGTACTTGAAAACAAAACAAATATCAAGAGAACTGTTGGTTCCTCTCGCTCTACTATGTATGTTACACAGTCCCTTTATAATCAGGTACCTATCACAATGTATATAACAGCAAAGAGAAATCTATTACTTATATTCAATATTTGTTTCAAAATTAAAGTAAAATATCTAATATACAGAATTAAAGATTAAGACTGTTTGCATTTTCTCATAGGCGATTTTCAGTACATAATTGTTAGAAAGTTTACAATGGTATTTATATCTAGTAAAAAGTGTTGTGTTGATGTTGTAACTGATCAAAACTGTTACCCTATATGCTTCCAAATGTGTTGTTGTAAGCTAATGTAAAATTTTTTCCCCGACTTGAAAGTAGTCGATTTTGGAGAGAGAGAGAGAACGTCATGCACTGACGTGTGGCCTAAGTAGTAAAAATAAACCACCCGAGTAGTTTTAGTCGGCTACTAAGCCCGAGGACGATATTCGCCAATTACACGGAGTGCCTCGGCGAAGACAGTTGTGAATTATTCGCAGTTGGTACTCGGGCCATGCAATCACAGCGATTGCACCGACACTGTATTTACTCCAGCGGTTATATAGGCTTTACCCCTTAAGTACGTCTTAAATGGCCCGTGCTCGCAATGAAGACGGCAAAATGAATTCGCCGTTCCGGAAAAATAAAAGCCAGCCCAACACCTACAAGTTGATAATGTACACGTGGCGGACCTTAACCACAATGCGATACACTATTAGAACAATCCTAAAAATCAGCGCTGGCATTTTGATACACTAATAAAACGGCCTCGAGCGGATGAAATATTACTATTTTCCCTTAGCCGGCTAATAAAAAAACAATGAGTTGACAAATGACGGGATGAACTTAATTGACAATTAAAAGTCTTTGGCAATGATACATGACCGACATGATGGAACAGCGGGACATGTGAGATGTGATTGAGCATTAGAGGGGATTTAAAGTTCCACCAACCATTGTCTGACAGTAGGTATACACGTATACACCGAGCTCTGTCGGGCTCACAGAATTACGGTTCGTTCAAATTTTAACGTTGTCGTGAAAAATATTTTTTAAAAATGTTTAATCTAGTTTGAATTTTGAAAATCACAAGTGTACTCTATACAGTTGTTGGACTTTGAATATTGTAGTTGTCCGTCATTTCTGCAGTGAGTGTACAGTGTGTACATATACAATTTGGATACCTTATATACATGAGTGTAAGTATAATGTATAATATTGTAGTGTTTTATTTAACGGCTGGACTGCTATTATGCAAAACAATATATATATATAATGAAAGTCATAACAACCATATCGTGTGTTGCCTACGATGGAATTTTGTGTGTTTTTTTTAATACAAACAAATGAAAAAAAAAAAAATGGTTTCATTTCGCATAGTATGTCGCTGCGGTGTTCTCGGAATATAATGGCGGCAGCCGATTGCCCTAAGAATCCAATATACCGCCGGAAATTAAAATCGATTACTCATCCAGTCAGTAAATTCCGCATGTATACATGTATTATATGTATATTATTATAATGCATTTTCCGAAGCAACAGCAGTGTTATAGCTACACTGAGTGGACCGTATTCGTTTACATGCAAACGTAGGTACATATAGGGTTCTCGATCCGGTCACGGATAACAGCATTTTGTTTCGCCCGGTCGGCTAAATTAAAATAAAAATAAAATATTGATAAAAGCCGTCCCGATTTTTCAAAACGGCTAACATAACGATTTCGCGTCGACACGTTTTGTTGTATGAAAAAAAAAATACATATTATTATGTCTGTGCACAAGCACAATGACTATAATACACCTACGACGAGTAGACTAGAAAACTTACAAGACACAAGCAAAAAAAACTGAGAGAAGGTTTTTCCAAACAAACAAATCTGTACTAGGTACGTTATTTTTTCAAATAGTTTGGCTTCTCAGCAAAGTTGCATCTTCTGCGTTGT